GTTAAATATTAAAAATTATAGTATAAAAAATTAAAATTATTATATTATATATTATATGTTAGATTATTTAGATGCAAGATCTAATTTTGGATTTGAATCCATTTAATAGTACCTTTACCCTAACCCATCCAAGGTAATTTCTTCCTGTACTCTTTAGACTCAAGTCTAATTACCATCGCCAGGTGTAGATATGGGTAAAAGAATTTTAAAAAAAAAATTGTTGAATTAAAATGATTGTGGGGATCATATCTCTATCCGGAATAGCTATCCGGGGAATAATTGGAATTAAATGATTCCTCAACTAGCACTGTACTCCATTGTGTACTGGGAATATTTTGAGGCCGAATAATATCATCTGTGATGGAACTTTTGCAAAACCAATTTCACAAAAGGGGACCATATCTATGGAGTGTGAGATGACCACACATCCTCCTCTCCCTCTCTTTCTTTCTCTCTCTTCCCTTCTTTTTTTTCTTTCAAAATTTTTTATACAGAGTTACATCCAAGTCCTGTAGAAGAAGTGCATGCCCCAAAGAATAGGTCTTTGATTGCCAGGTCCTCCATTTGGCAAGGAAAGTCATAAATGTTATTACATTTTATAATTTAACATGATAAATTTTATGGTAATTCCATTTTTATGACTCAAAATGACTTACTCCTATTAAAAAATTCTATGTTATTTTAAATTCATGTTAAAATTATAAAGTTCATGACCCTAGATTTTTAAGTTGGCTGTATATATTGATTACATTAGGAGTTGAAATCCCCAAAAAAGTTAAGTTATGTATTTTAAGGAGTAGAAAATCTCAGAGAGTCCTTGTGCACGAGGTCCCTTGATTTTTTTTTTTTTTTTTTGGGGGGGGGGGGGGGTTGGGGTGGGGAGGGAGGAATTCCAATTTTTTAGGTCTAACCCGTGGTGAGGTTCATGTTGACCAAGAAATTAGAACATTTGTTCCTCTCTCTCTTCATTTGGTGAACGTGTTTTACTTCTACATGCTATTACTAGCACATCAACAACTTAATTCTCGAAACTATAAGAATGACAATGAAACCTCCAGTGCATGGATCTTTTGGTGATCATATGTGCAATTATTTTAAAACCCACTTTTACCTCAACTTTTTTAAAAGGTATATTTCAAACTAGGTTAAGTTCTTTTCACACGCACCAAAAATCCGCCACCACTACAGTTGCTTTCCCCTAAGCTTGGATATTCCGGATGGTGATTCTAGAAGGTAGTATATGGTTTACAATGGGCATCGTCTCAGAAATGTATGCGGCAAGCCAAATTTGGAAAAGCCCAAGGCCCACATCTGAACAGCATCTACCTTAGCCTAATTCATCTATCCAACTGGTTTTAGAGCACACCCCGGCCCAAAGGTGACAATGACAAATTGATAGCTCGAAGTTATTTCCACATTTTTAGAAATTTTAAGTTTTAGAAATGATTTGACGTTAGCAAAATATCTAAATCACTGGTGAAAATCATGAACGGTTAAGACTTGAGCAATGAATATTTTAATTCTTATATGAAAAGGAGATGATTTAAATGCTCAAAAAGCCCACTTTTCTTTTCCATCTTGACCATGGATTTGGGCTGGGCCTTCGTGCAGATTTTTCAGGGCCCAAAGACTGGCAATATCGTGGGAAGACAACCAGGCCACGTGAGTTTTGAACCCACGTGCAATGTGCACGAGGCAGAAGAAACAAACGGCGAATGGTTCGCACGTTGCCAGCGCTCCCGGAAAACTTTATTTTGAGGTTGGATTGGTTTTAAAACTTTTATTATTATAAATTTCCAGGAAAAAATTTAAGTGGGAAGAATTGCAAGATTTCCTTTTTCTGCTTAAAAGGCTATTAATTATGAGAAACTGGACAATTGCCTTGCTCCCCGAATTGATCACAATTGAACAATTTTGGAACTGTTGTCTTAAATTGCAGAATATTAGAAAAGATGGGGACTGAAATCAAATTACAATAAGAAACAGATGGCCAATTTATGTAAGACAACGAAAACGATGATAAATTTAGAATTACTGATATTAAAAATTAAATAAAGGAAAATACTCACTATATTTTTAATTGATAGAAGATACACTTTTTTAACCAAAAAAATCTTTTTTCCTTTTGTTAAAAAACACTTCTGGTTAAAAAAAAAACATGTGTTTGTGTGGATTAATTAAAAAAATCAGACACAAAAAAAATCAGTTTTCTACTTTTCTTGAGAAGTTAGTAGAATTGGTTTTTCAAGCTCTTTCTTGGCATAGAAGAGAAAGAAAGTAGTTAATAAAATCAAAACAATATTTTTGGACAATAATATCTCTTGCATTTAAAAAAAGTAAATATAATTAGTCTTTTATGAAAATTTTATAAAAAACATTTTTTTAATTTTATGCATCCAAATAGTTAAAAAGTAGTAAAACACTTCTATTTCTAAAAGAAAATTACTTTTAAAAAATCACTTTTAGAAGAGTTTACCCAACATGCCTTTGATTGATAGCATGGTGTAAAATGTGCTTTTGAGTTTCACTTTTTATAATAATATATTTATTTTTTGATTTTATTATAAAAAAGCCCTCAAATTTTCATAGTGACCATTTTAATTTTGGAATAAAAAAAATTCTTATGGTACGCCCATTTGAAATCAAAATTCAGATGGTCTTTTAAATTTTTCTTTTTCGAGTGTTCATTTTTTTAAGCAGTATCATAAAATTCCAAAATCATAAAATTAACCAAAGAAAGTATAAAAGAAAATAAAAATTCAACCAAGCAAAACTTTACTCCTAAAAAAAAAAGTTTTCAACGAAGCAGAACTCTATGGCTTGTTTGGTTTGCGAAAATGTTTTCTCGTTCCATTTTTTATTTCTATTTTCTAAAAATAGTTTTCATTTTAAAGTTTTCAAAATTAGAAAATATGTTTGGTTAGATTTGTAAGTTTCTATTTTAAAAAAATGAAAATGAAGAAAACATATTTGGTTAACTCATTTTCAATAAATTTGAAAATAAGGACCAAAATGAAAAAATTCAGAGTTTTAAGATTTTTTCTAAGATTTAAGTAAATAAATTAGAATTTTTTGGGATTTAATTGAATTTTGAAGAATTAAGGGACTAATTTGAATAGTGTCTAAGATACGAGGGACCAAAGTGCAAAATACTTTTCACTATTCATCTTCTCCCCTCCTTGTAACCTAGTCACAGTCATCTTCTCCCTTGAAACCCTAGCCATGGCCATCGCAATTGTTGAGACACGAGGGACCAAACCCATTGCTTCCTCCAAATCGTCACTATGGCTACTATAATGGTCAATCGTTGTAGTGGCAACTAACCTTTAGCACCACTTGACCTAGTCGATTGACTCTCTATCTACTCTCTCTCTCACTCTCTATTCTTCTTTTTCTTCTTCTTTCTCTCTTTTTCATTTGCACGTGCCCCACCACTACTTGTGCCAATCTATTCCTCATTCTCCTTCCTCCCCTCTGCACTTATCTCATATCAGCTTTCTGTGCTCACCTGATCTTCCTCCCACTTCTGCTACTCTTCAAATTTCATCCTTATCGACTAAGCCCCATATTTCTCCATCACACACACCACTGCCACTACTAGTCCTCTATTTGTGTCACTTGCCAACTCAAGCCACCCCATAGCTCACCTTACTGGTTTTTCTTTGGCCATTGAAACAAAATAAGACGATTTGGGACCAATTTGAAAGACATGGATGAATAGTAGCAAAGAGAATAAGCAAAATAGAAAAAAACATTGAAAATTAGTTTAATTATGAGTTTGCCACTATGTTTTTAATTTTAGAGAAAGCACTAAAAACTACTTTTTGTTATTTTCTATTTTTAACCTATTTTAAGAAATGTTTTCTGAAAATGAAAATAAAAAATACCCTACCAAACATATTTTCTTTATTATTTTCTATTTTCACTAAAAATAAAAATAGAAAATAGCTAAACCAAATAGGCCTTTATTTTTTAATATTCGCATGAAGTATCCTAACTAATATTATTATTGTTCCTAAATGGATTAAAAAGGTGTATGCGGATACTTGTAAAAGAGTAGAAGAAGGCACTTTAAGTAAAAGTAAATAAATTATATTTTAATCAAAAATAGGAGATGATTGTAAAATATTAAAAAAAAATTTGAAATTAATAAAAAAGTATTTAAGAAATAATTTTATAAAACGGTTGTAAAAAAATTTTTATGATAAAATAATTATTTTACTTTTATATACAATTTTTTATTTTATTTTTTATCATCACTTTTTTTCTTCCTCGTTTCTCTCTCTCTCTCTCTCCCTTTTTCTATCTTCACGTGACCAATCTTCATTTTCTACCTGGCCTCAAAAGCGTGAGATCGATCGCCTGAGACTGCACATAATACCATCACCACTATCTGTGGCAACGTGTCTCATTACTATGCATGACGATCTATGCCGTGGCACGTAGCAAACACCCAAGCAAGCTTTTTCCATGGTCATAAATTGGCTAGTCTGACGAGTTTCGTCCCTAATCACAAATCAACTAATCTAGCGAGACTAGCTTCATTGGCTGAAATATTTTTGAAATATTAACAAAATTTTGAGGGTAAAAACAATAAATTAATATTTAAAATTATTTTTTATTCACAATATTACCCTTAGAAGTTAAGTCTTTTCCTTCCGGTTTTAAATTTTATACTATTTAAAACTATTTATAAAAAAATTAGAAACTAAGAGGTAGTTTTCAAATATCTCGAAGTTCAAAAGCAAAAAAATCACTTAAAAAGAAGTTTTTGCAAACACCCCTGTACTAAAACCGATTATGAATCAGCTCAACTGTGAAAGTGAAAAGAATTGAGCGGAGGGCTGTAGAGAGAGAAAAAGGGAGGAGAAAGGGTGGAGTTTTGGAGTCCCACCACTACCGGAAAGGATCAGAACTAGTGGCAAAGCAAATGAGAAAAAAGGGTTTGTAGAAGGGCACAAGAGAAGAGAATCTAGGGTTTCTTACTCGGAAGTTGCAAAATGGCGACTCCCCAATCCGGGCAATTGACCTTGACTCCGACCACAACAACACCTCGTTCTAGGGTTTTGCAGAGCCCTCTTAGTGATGGCTCGATCTGGAAGCGCCTTCGAGAGGCCGGTTTCGACGAAGATTCCATCAAAAGGAGAGACAAGGCCGCTCTTATCGCCTATATTGCCAAGCTTGAAACTGAGGTCTGTGCATTTAGATTCGTTGGAAGTTATATTCTTTATTTTTTTTTTCTTTTTCTTCCTTTTTTCACTGTGGAGCTGATTGGCGATTCGTTATTTATACTAGCATATATTTAGGGAATATAAGTTTCCGTCGGGTTCATTTTCCTCAGATTGAAAGGAAATACATTTATTGTGCAACAGGACCATAATATTACGTTTTGATTAATCTGTTGTTCTGAAGTAAACATTTACAAGAAGCAAGATTTTTTTTTTTTTTTGGGGGGTGGGGGTGAGGAAAGGGGACCAAACACCGGAAAATTCGGCCAGGGTCTCTTAATCTGTTTCTAACTTCTCAACCAAGGCCCGTTTAATCTGCTGTTTCAACATCAATATGTTTTGATGAAAGAAAAATGAGCTAGCTAAACTATTCAGTCATTGAGCATCATAATGGCTGGTCGTTGCTGATTGAATGATCCACTCATATAAGGTTCATTGCCTCAGTTGAAAATTTCCTGACCTACAAAGGCATTGCAGTAATGTTGTTTAACATTTTCATAGGTAAGCCAGTGACTGGTCTTTTCAATTTGTTTATAGATATATGAACATGAACACCAGATGGGTCTTCTTTTATTGGAAAGAAAGGAATGGCTTTCCAAGTATGAGCAAACTAAAGCATCGGCTGAATCAGCTGAATTAATGCGTAAACGGGATAAGGCTGCACACTCATCTACTTTAGCTGAAGCCAGGAAACGAGAGGAGAGTCTGAAGAAGGCCCTCGGTATTGAGAAAGAGTGTGTTGCAAATGTATGCTTTTCTACATAGCCCTTTTCTATGTGTTCTATTGTGGTATTTGTTCTAATTTAAGTCCTTCTATAGCTTGAGAAGGCATTGCATGAGATGCGCACGGAGTGTGCTGAGACGAAAGTTGCTGCGGATAGCAAATTGGCCGAGTCACGAAATATGTTGGAGGATGCCCAGAAGAAGTTTACTGAGGCTGAGGCAAAGTTGCTTGCTACGGAATCTTTAGAGGCAGAAGCCAGCCGGCATCGTAGTGCTGCTGAAAGAAAGTTACATGAAGTTGAAGCCCGTGAAGATGATCTTAGAAGGCATATCTTGTCATTCAAGTCCCAGTAAGTCCTGTCTTACCAACTTCCTTGTCTTGATAGTCAAGGATCCTTTAATGGAGATATATCTGTTATTTGATTGTTTCCCTTTTTATGTTTGTAATCTCAGTATATTTGGTCCTATCATCTCCTCCCCACTTCTTAAAATATATAACATATATAAAAGTAATTTGACAATGGCTCTATATGACTTTCCAGGAGAATACTTGTAACTTTTCTGAAGTACATTTCACAAAAAAACTAAGAACTATATTTATATAAAGAAAATAAAAAGAAAAAAATGGAAGAACAGTTTGTACATGGTAAGGTATTATAGAGCTTCTAGCATTTTGGAAATAAAAAGGTTGATCAATCCTTGATTGATAGTAATATAAATTTCACCTCTTTATCTATGAGCAGTTTCTTAAATTCAGTGTTACTTTCCTTTGTGGTTTTTTTTTAACTTATGCTATTACTATTGATGATTTGATTTGTTGTAGCTTATATGTCTTCATGTAATGCATTGTTTGCCCATTCTCAATAGGCTTCCAAAACTGTTTAGTTTCTTTTTGTTCCTATGCCCACGTGTCCTTTAGTTTTTTTCTAATTTTTTTTTTTACTTTTACATTTTGTATCTTTTTCAAAGATATATACGGCTGTCCAAATTTGTGAGACTTACCTTTAGATGCTAAAATTTTGAATTTATTTCAATATTATCTTTAACTTTGGCCCTAGAATCTTAAAAATATGGTTTGACTACTATGACTCTGGATTCTGGAACTTATGGATTTTTTGTTTTCTCTTGATGGACTAGTTGCGATGCTAAAGAGAAAGAAATCTTCCTTGAGAGACAATCTTTAAGTGAAAGGCAGAAAACTCTTCAGCAATCCCAAGAACGGTTGCTTGATGGACAAGCTCTGCTGAACGAAAGGGAAGAGTACATTTTTAAGAAATCTCAGGAATTAACTCAACTTGAGAAAGAGTTGGAGTCTTCAAAAGCGAAGCATGAGGAGGAACGTAGAGCCCTAATTGAGGAGAGAGGTTGTTTGGAGCTAAATGCATCTTCCTTGTCAGCAAGAGAGGAGGTATACAGCCATGCTCATTTGATCTTCTATCTATGTTTACATACTGGTTGAAAAGACCATCACAATGATCACCTCCATGTTCACAAATATATGGGTTTTCATTTTCATATCCAATTATTTCATAATTTCATCAGCCAATAATGACACTTCTTATAGCTCCGCTCGCCTGCACCCCCCCGCTTATTAGTTTTGGTAGTGAAACACGGTTTTTCCAACTAACTATTCAACATTAGAAAGAATTTCATTGGTTTAAGTACTTACATTTTGAGAACAAAGGGTCTACATACCGAACAATTATAGAGATGTTAAACATGTCATTGTGGATTCTGACACCCTTGGATTTCCTGGGTTCCATGAGTACACTGAAACCTAATGCAATAACTTTTTTTGAGTGGTCACAGGCTGTTATCAAAAGGGAATTTGAACTGAACAAGAGAGAGGAAAATCTACTCATTCAGCAACAGAAACTTGCAAGCAAGGAATCAGTGAGTTTGCTAAGTCTTTGTTGTCAATTTCCTTCTGCTAGTTGAAGCTTTGTAAATGGAAGCTTAGTATTTATACTATCCTAATTGTGATTCCTAAATTTTTTTGCTGCGTCTTTTGCTGCATTGTTGTTCAGTTTCATGTTTCTTTCTTTTTGGTTAGATTCATTTTTGGTAAATTCAAAAGTTTTAGTCATTACATGCATTTATTTCTCTTATAATCCTGTTTCTTTTTGAACAATGTAGGACAGAATGCAGCAAGTTATGGCTAATCAAGAAGCTGTGTTGAGATCAAGGAAGTCTGATTTTGAAACAGAGTTGGAGATAAAGTGCAAATTGGTTGAAGAAGAAATTGAGTCCAAGAGACGTGCTTGGGAGTTGAGGGAGGTTGATCTTGGTCAACGGGAGGACCTAATCTTGGAAAAAGAGCATGAGTTGGAGGTTCTATCAAGGACATTGTCTGAGAAGGAGAAGAATTTGACAGAGAGGATGAATTCGCTTGATGAGAAAGAGAGAATTCTACATGCTGTTGAAAGAGAGGCTGAAGAGAAGAAAATCTTTCTGCAGAACGAAAAAGAAGAGATAAAATATATGAAGCTTGATCTTCAAAAATCTTCGGCTTACTGGAAGACAGAAAGAGACAAGTTGATCATGAAGAGGAAAAGGTGATATCCATGCAAAGTGAAACAAATGAACTGCTAATTTTAGAAATGAGACTTAAAGAAGAAATTGATTCCATCAGAGCTCAGAAGCTAGAACTTGAGGTTCAAGCAAATGAGTTGAAAGTAGAGAAGGCAAAGTTTGAAACCGAGTGGGAATTGATTGATGAGAAAAAAGAAGAATTACGGAAGGAAGCAGAACGTATTACTGAGGACAGATTAGCCATTGAGAAGTTTCTGAATGATGAACGTGACTTCCTGAAGTTGGAGAAAAATGCACTGTTGAGTCAGTATAAACGTGACATGGAGTCACTCTCTCGTGATCGGGAAGCCTTTATGAACAAAATTGAGCATGAGCGTTTAGAGTGGTTTAGCAAGATTCACAAAGAACGTGAAGATTTTTTGGTTGATATTGAGTTGCAGAAGAGAGAACTAGAGAACTGTATTGATAAGAGGCGTGAAGAAATTGAAAGTTACCTTAGGGAAAGAGAGCAGGCCTTTGAGGAAGAAAAGAAGAAAGAGCTTTCACATATTGCTTCTCTTCGGGAAACAGTGGAAAAGGAAATGGAACAAGTTAACTTAGAAATGCAAAAGCTTGATGCTGAGAGAAGGCAAATCAATCTGGACCGGGAACGAAGGGACAATGAATGGGCAGAGTTAAATACTTCCATTGAAGAACTTAAGCTGCAAAGGCAAAAGTTGGAGAAACAAAGGGAATTACTGCATGCTGATAGGGAAGAGATACTTGTCCATATTGAACAAATGAAAAAATTGGAGGATTTGAAAGTTGTCCCAGATCGTTTGACAGTGTGTGAGATTCATGAATTTGATCCAAAGTTTAGCAAACCTAAAGCTTCTGCAAAAAGAGCTCTCCTGCAGCACACTGTTGTACAGGATGGCAGATTGGATTCAGATAATAAAATAAATGCTCATGAAGGTAATGGGGGTGATATGTCCTCCAGGACATTGGATCCTCCTTCCTCTGCTCCTTTATCGTGGCTAAAACGATGTGCTGAAACCCTGCTGGAGCACACACAGAGTAATAAGAAAAGGAAGCAACTGAAGGATGCTGTTGCAATGCCATCAGAAGAGATCACTGAACCCTGGTATTGTTCTACTTAATGAAAACTGCACATGTTTTCACTAATTAAAACAACCGTATGCATTTTGTCCACTTTAATGTATTGGCCTCTTACAATTTTATTTACAATTTATTTACTTATTTATTGGTAGCGCATTATCAACACAACAAAATGCATTAGAAGATAAGCATGAATTGATTGCATTAAATAAAACACCTGGAGGTGCCAGGGAGACCACCGTGTATATAGACAAGATCATTACCATTCAAGAAGTAGCCTCGGTGGAAGATGGAAGAGTTACTGAGGACAGTAAGGTGAGTAATTGCTGCTTCATATTCTCTCTTTTGCTCTATTGTTGTCTTTTCCTTTTTGGTTGGGGTTGGGGAGGGTGTTTGTTAAATAGAAGCAACACATTACATTTGGCTCTTTAATGCAATCTTCTACTTATTTTTATTTGTGTGCTTGCTATTCTATTTGTGTTTGAATTATATGGACGTATCACTCACTACTGTCAGCATGAGCAATATGGAGTATGATCTAGAGCAGGTTATTAAGATTAAACATGAGCTTGAATTATTATGCTTTCTGTACAAATTGAATTTTCTATCAGTTTCAATTGGTGGTGTATTGTGACTTTTCTTAGTGGACAATGAGAGATCATTTCTATTCCTGAGTAAATAACTTGATGGTTTTTGATTAAGTCCATTCTGCTCATTGTGGAGGTGTGCTTAAATGGGAGCCTATGGTGATGGTTGTGTGCCATAGCATGAACCACACATGAGGCCATCATGAATTTGTCCATATAAGATGTATAATTTTTGTTAATTGAAGTCACTCAGTAAACTTGGTTGAATCTGTTTTTTGTTTTGTTTTGTTTTGTTTAAGGGTGGGGTGAGGGAGTAATTTGGATTTGATAATATAGATTCTTTTTTACTATTAACCTTTTACTTTTTTTGCTTGATTGATGTTACCAGTTTGATCAAGTTAATATTCATGTATTTTTTGTCCACATGTTTGGTATGTTTGGTTTTGTGAAATATTTACTCTTAGTATGATGGTATCAAAGCTTGGAGGATGGATTATGGCATAATAGAAAATAGTCTTTCACATATATGATGGGAATGGAAGTCTTTTTTATTTTTTTATTTTATTTCTTTTTAGGGGCTTTAACAGTGTACATCTATCCTCAAAAACCACCTAACTGGATAATAGAGTATTTTTAGCCTAAGAAGACAAGGTAAAGATTTACTGCCATTCCCATTTTGTTTGACTAATATTGCAAGTGGCTAAGTCCAAAAGCCAAGAAGGGCAGCTTTGGCTTTTTAGGTTTTTGGGGCTTTCTAACTCCATCTTGATATTTCACAAGCCAAGTATGCCAAAAAGGGTTGATAGACAAGAAGCCCAAGAAGCCTAGAAGCCTTCACTACCAAATACTCCCCAATTGACTAGGAAAATTTATTTAATAAAAGTTCATGTTTGGCTAATTAATTTGCTAAAATTTTCTTTCTTCCATCTTGAATAAAATCTTTGGATCTTGTGATTGTACTTGAATTCTTAGATCAGTGCATCGGTTTTTTAGAGCTGAATATGTTAATTCTGCTGTGAATAGGGCACAGCTATGAAATTATTCTGTTTGTTTCCTTGGGTTTAAGAAGTCTTCTGTACAATACCTCAGCAAAGAAGAAGTTATTGCATGCCTTGTTTGATATGATTGCATCATTTGTTTGAAATTGAATGAAACATGGGGAGTAATTGAGATTGTATCCTCATGGATGTGACTATATAGCTTCAGTGTGTTTCCACTACAGGTGTGATATGCCATATCATGCCTTTACCAGTTCTTATATAACTATTGTGCATTCAGTGTGCATCATATGTTTTGAAAACTTATTTTTGCGATATTTGAATAGCATTGTATGTTAAACATACCATTGTCGTAATCAGTGCTCCTTACGACTCATTTTGAGTACACCTGTTTAGCTTGAAGTCTCACTTATGATAGTTTATACATTGGTGGCATAAATCTTTTCAACTGTGAACTAGGTCATTATTTCGTGATGTGTAAGCCTTGATAGATGTGTTGCTAGGTTGGTTATGTTTTTCTCTCCATCCTGTTTGTTCCTTTCATCGTCAAAACAATATCTAAAGCATGCTTTCTCTGTAGTACCAGCAAGAGGTCGTCTCCCAGGAGATTGAGAAGCTTGAAGATCATTGTGATTCCATATCAGATGCAAACAGGAAAGCCAAGCGGCCTGCTGGAGTAAGGACAAGGGCAGAACAGGTTCGGTAAAATTCATTTTGTTAGTTGTCCGCTGGTTTGCTGCTTTGCTGGCAACAGTTCAAAATATTTTTCCTCCACTTGTTTGCGCCTTTCATTGAACTACTCCATAGACGCATGAAATTGTCTAATTCTTCAGGTATAGTGCACAGCAACTGAAAGCATACATGACGTAGTTTCGGCTAAATATCCAGACTTGTAAATTCTGTCCCTGATACTGGTGTTGCGGGTGTATCTTGGCGGTGTGTGATTTTGGCTGTTTGCTTTTAGCTACTGGTTTGTGGGCTATCTACATTGTTGTTTTCTGGGATTGTTAGTTGCTGCTTGGCTTGTTCTTGACTTCTGATAGTTTACTGAAAAGCATCTCGAAGCTTCCAAATATAGATTCATGGATGTGCTTGTGAGGAAAAGAAAAAGGAAAAAAATTCTTTTATGTTTAATTTGAAAAAAGAACGGAGAAGGAGTTCTTTAGGGATGCAATGTTTTTATCGGGTTGATTTCATGGCTTGGCAACAGCCACTTTGCTCTTTGAAGTACTCCTAAATTCTAAACTGTAACTAACATTTCCATCCAATTTTCGTGCGCGAGACGGTTTCTCAATTATTTAAAATTTTTTTTTAAAAAAATATTAAAAAGTTGGTAGGAATAGAACTGACTTTTTAATTATTTAACAAAAAATAGAAAAAAGCATATTAGGAAGTTAGTTTTGTTAAAATTGACGTTCTAATTATTTAAAAAATAAATTGAGAAAGTATATTGAGAATTTAGGAACGACTTCTTAATTAAAAAAAAAGAGTATTGGAACGTTAGTTTTGGTGATTAAATTTTCAATTATTTAAAAAAGAAGTATAAAATAATATGTTGAAAATTGGGTTTTGGTAAAATTGACTTGATAATAATTTTAAATTCATCACATCTTAATAAATAATTTTAAAACGTTATATTTTGACCTAAAAGAAATTATCAATATCATTATAAAAAAAGCTGCAAAGGGCTCCGGCGTCGGCCGGGCGAAGCCAGCTTCGTCCTGAAACACCATCGAAGTCGGACCGGCACAAATCTCTGTAATGTCTTCATCCATGAGCACAAACTTCGGCATTGGCTCCACGCTGGGTAAGTGCTCGTTGTCCTCGGCGTTCTACATCCCAAAATTAAAAAAATCAACAACAAAGAAAGAAAAGAAACCCTGAATAAGCTTGTCACTCGTGAAATTATTTGAACAGTGATCATGTAAAAAGGGATTGAAGTACCTGTATGGGCTCCGTGAGGGAATGGACGTCTTTGGTGGAGACCTCCGAGAAGAAATTAGTAACGGCATTGTGGATATCCTGAATGTTAGGATTTTGGAGACATGGGCTTTCTGATTTTTCCCATATGTTGCCTCGCCTTCTCTGTTTGTCCGCTCATGGTGGTCATTGGCTCCTTCCTCTTTGTTTAAGAAGAGGAGAGGGAATCTGAGACTGAAGAAACAAATTAAGAGGAGAGGAGAGGGAGTTGAAGAAGCAAGAATTGATGAAGATGAGATGGATAACTCTGACAGAAAAATAGAATTAAAAAGAAACAAATGACGGTGGGTCTTTAGTGCACCGCCGGCTTTATCCATGGAGGGCAATGATGATGGAGAGCATCGCGCCAGGATGGCGGCGTTTTGAAATGGCTGCAGGTGATTCTGTCTGTTGGCTGTAAAAATTTACTAGGGAAATTGTATATCTAGTCCCCTTAATTTGGACTATAGTTTTATTTAACCCCTGTAATTCTACTTGTGACAATTTCATCCTTATCATTGTTGTATGGTTTTTACATAGGATAATCATTATCCAAAATTTCATAAGATAATCATTACCCAAAATTTCATCCCTTAGGAAAAATTATACTTGTATTTAGCCAGGGTTAATTTGCATTCTATTTCTTGATGGTTCTTACAATACTAACAATTGCAACAATTTATTATTTAATGATTATGTAATTTTAGCTAAAAATGATAATTAAAAACTATATAAATATATAGGGGAAATTAATGCAAAACTCACAATGATTTTCATAAGCAGGATAAAGTATTAATAGTTAAACCAACAGAATATCATAATTAGGATAAATTAACAACTATTTTACTAACAGAATGTCGTAAGTATCATAAAGTATTAATAATAAAACCAATTATACAAATCAGAAAATGTTAAAATGTTAAAGCCTATTGTGTGATTACTTTTACATTTTTTTGACAAGGATAATTTTACTTTGCTGATTTTAATGATTATTTTTACTTAATGATATATGAATATGATATTAGTGAAATTATATGTAAATGATATAAGAGCGAACGATTTTCAAATCTGAATGTTTTTGTTATATTTGGATAGGAATGCGATCTATTACTTGACAAAAATGTTAAATGTTTAAATAGAAGAGATTGTAAAATTCAATCTCATATTAGTTTCTAAGTATGATGTCGTAGAGCATGTAAGATTATTAAGAGTTATTACTAAACAACTTACACTTAAGTATTTTGACCCAATAATTTAGACTTGACAAATTGTTAAGTCTAACGTCAAGTGTGTAATATTCTAGCCCACTAGTAAATATTGTCCATTTTGAGTCAAGACCCTTATAGTTTTAAAATGCATCTACCAAGGGCTAAAGCATGTATACCTATAAACCTAGCATCTTTCACGTGTTTTGCTGATATGAGATTTGGCTAAGGGTGTTACATACACCCCTTTTTTGGGATTTAGCATCCTTGTTGAGATTTGCCTTACCACCATTCAAGGTTGCACGCGGAGTGGCTTTAATACTATTTTTAACGACCCTAGAGCTACAGGTTCGAGCAACTTGTTGAGCTTGAATCACTGGTCCAAACTGCTTAAGTTTAAGTTATTCAGTAGTAGTTTCTAGTTTCTTACATATTATATCATATTACTTTTATAAATTGATGTGGGATGGGTTTTCTACTAATGTACATGTTTAATTGAGATTTGAATTTAAATTTTTTTTTTCTCATTTTACACAAGATTTTGGTTTAGTTAATTTTGATTTAGCTGTCAAGCTTGTAGGGTTGGAGCTTATTCTAATCTTAATACATGTCACGAATTCATCACTTGGGTCGTGACAAAATAATATCAGAACATAATGATCTTTGGATCTGTTCTATTTAGATATAAATATGAATTTCTGATTTGACGAGGACGTCAAATGTTTAAGTATGAGAGATTGTGACATCCCATTCCACATCGATTTTTAAAAGTAACATGATATGGTATATAAGAGATTAGAAATTACTATTGAACAATTTGAGTTTAAACATTTTTGGCTAGTGGTTTAGATTTAATAAGTTATTAGAAACAATAGCTCTTGGGTTATTAAAAAATACTGTATGACAGTTAGAATTACTAGGTTGAATTTCTTCTTAACTTAGTGCTGATCACGAATCCGATTCTCGTGTTGTGACAAACTTATGTAACACTCTTAGGTAAATCCCATATCAATAAAATATGGGAGAGATGCTAAGTTCATAGATATGCATACATTAGTATCTGGTCAGCGTATTTTAAAACTGTGAGGGTCTCGGCCCAAAGCGGATAATTTTTATCATTAGGCTAAGTTGTTTCAAAGTGTTTGAATAAGAGAGATTAGGATATCTTGTTTCACATATGTTTTTTTAGAGTCTACTGTTGAATAGTTTGAGTATTTTAGTATAATAATTTAGACTCAACAAATAATTAGATAACTAAGATTAGTAATGGCACAACCATATCTTGTAATTTTCTTTTTGTTATGTATTGTTTTTAATTTTTAAATTACAAGTCACAAGGGTACTTTTTGCAATTTTTTTAAAAAAAACGCCACCCGCTAATTAGTGAATAAGGTCCTTTAATACCAAACAATTGCTCATGAGACAAATCTCAACTTACAAAAGTTCCTTGCAAATAAGTGCTTCGATTTGGGCAAGAATGTTGTAAATTTGAACACAACATAACATGATTTTATATTATGCAAAATATGAATTTATTAAAAAATACGAATATAGCTTGATAAAAATCTATTTTATATAAATTAATATAATTCTAGTTGTCTTTGTTGTAAATTAATTAATTTTAGTTAAAATTTATAATGTTTTAATACAAATATTAGTTTGAAAGGTATGAAGACAGAAGTACGACAAGATATCAAGAAATGCGAACTAAATCCTACACTTCTAACAATTGTTTTTTTTTTTTTTGAAACTTAGAAATTTAACTATTAAAGTTTGTAGTTAATTTAACCATGCAGTGTAACTATCTTGTTTGGCAGTCAAATGCTATTATTCTTTATAATATTTTATTAATTAAAAAGAATTAAGATCTAAACTTTTTACAATTGTTCGTTAACCTTTAAAATTAACTCTAGTAGTTTGACATTATTTATCAATATTTTTCATCCTGTGGAAAAATTATTAGATGGATAATATTAATTTAAACGGATAGATTCTTCTTGAAGTGTTTACTACAAGGTGTTATATACATTATAGGCATGTTCAATAAGCTGAATAAAGGCAAGATAAGAATAGTTATTTAACCTTTATTTAACATTTGGTAAACCAAAACAAAGTTTTGGATAAAGTCTTGATAAAGATACTTATCCTGTCACATTTGAATAAGATTATTTTTAGGGGAGGAGAGAGGGGTAAAATAATTTTATTTAATTTTTTCCCAGCCCATTTGTGACAACCCAAACTGATTTCAGTTTTTGGTTTTATATAAATTGATGTATTTGATGGCATTTTAAAATTTATTTGGAAGAAATTTGAGAGGTTTGAGGTTAAGAGAAGCATATATGAAAGTTTGGAAATAAGTTGAGTTTTTGTAAAAAAAAAAAAAGTTATTGTAGTGCTATTGTAGCACGCCAGAGTGCGCTATAGCGTACTGCATTCTGGAATTTTGGCACCGTAGCGCCCAAGTCTGCTATAGCGCGATAGACATTGGAATGGGCGCGTTATAGCGCCATACCGCGCCGTAGCATGCCGAACGAAATTTTTT